GACTGAGCGACCGTCAGTTGTAACATGACCCTTGCCCTTGCCTTGTTATTATTTGGGACCGTCGCTACGTCGCTACCGTCGCTACATGATTAATGTGCTGCTACCTGTGCGTAATTCACTAGAAACAGAACGGCAGTTTGAATTTTTATTTATTTACGTTCCGTAAATCCAAGGCGATTTAGTTCTGGATTAATATAACTTTCGGATGGCACCGAAGAAAAGTGGGAGCGCCAAAGGTGCAACCAAAGCAAAGGATGAGGATGAAGGCAAGAGTGCAACGAAAGAAAAAAAGGGGGGTACTGCAGTAAAGGTTAATATAATTTTGATTTCTTGATACCGCTGTAAGGATTTCTTTTAGGTTAGTCTGTATAATGACAAATTCTGTCATGAACTGCAGCTAAGAGTGTACCATTTTTCTGATACTTGAAAGAATCGCATTCAAATTGTCCAACACTGAATTTTTATTCTAATGTGGTTGTGTAAATATAAGACAGGCACGTAGTTGGAAGTACCGTGAAATATATTTTATTTCAGGTTCGGCATATTTTGTGCGAAAAGCAAGGAAACGTGCTTCAGGCACTGGAGAAGCTGAAAGCTGGAATGAAGTTCCCAGAAGTTGCAGCTCAATACAGTGAAGACAAAGCAAGACAGGGGGTATAAATCCATTCTTACTGATACAAGCCAGAAATCCTATTTAAATACATTTGTCATTTCGAAAAGTTTGGTGTTTGTCAACATTAGGTTCAGAATGAGTGATACTTTCCAGTGGGCCTGTTGAAGCAACACCAAATAAGATGGATTAAAATTCCAGCAGGTGGCATTAGTCAGATTTTTATACCTATTTCAGTAGCCTAACTTTACACAACAAACATGAGTGATGGCATTCAGACAGACTAGGGTTCAGGATTGTCACTGTTGTAGACATTCTGTAAGGAAAGGTATAAGGTATAAACATTCTTTCTCCTGCACTGTTGGCAAAGGAAACTACCAATATATGTGATGTATCATGAATACTGCCATATTTTATTTCTTCCATCTCCCCTTTTAATAACATGCTTCACAGCACAGTGCATTTGTCACTGTGGCTATGTATGACCTTCAGATTACTTTGTGTGGGGCTGGAAACTGACAGTAATTTTCAATGAAACTACAATGTGGCGCTTGGCAACATTGAAATAGGGTGTAGTTAAGTGTGCTGCGAAAGAGAGGGAAAGCCAAATATTACTTAAGTTTTGCCAAAGACACGTGTAAACTGTGCACACGCAACCGTAGAATTTGATCCCATGACCTTGTCAGAAGCTTCAGTCATCATCAGAATTAAATACCAGAGAAATCAGTTGCATGTAAGGAAACTGATCTGACTTGGATGTTCTGGTTTCAGGGTGATCTTGGTTGGATGACAAGGGGCTCAATGGTTGGACCATTTCAAGATGCAGCATTTGCTCTTCCTGTGTCCACAGTAAACAACCCTGTCTACACAGATCCACCAATAAGAACAAAATTTGGTTACCATATTATAATGGTTGAAGGAAAAAAATAAATGATTTTTATAACTTGGTTGTTTTCAAATCTTTGCGCAATTGCGAAGTAATTTAAAATAAGGTGGCTGTGAGTAGATATAAGGATTATGAGCATAAAGAGTAAAGAAAGAGACTTTGTACTTGGTTTATTAAGTTTATATGCTGGTTATCAAAGTGGGATATATTGTGATGCCAATGGCATCTGCTTCTTCCCCATCCATTCATTCCATAATCTTCCTGGCATTTATTCATTTATGTAATATACTGATGTTCAATAATCTTAGTAGTTGATTCTATGTCACTAAGATATTAACTGCTCTGCATTGCTAGTAGGATTATTGTCTTATGCAGTTAGCAAACTCTGTCTTCTTGATGGTGCATGTTGCTGCATATTCTACAAGTCATTTATATCTATTGTGAGTCCATATTCAGAGAGTGGTGTCACGTGTTGGGCATGTCATGCGACAAATAAATTCACCTGGGTCTCGGATTCACCGAATCTTTATTTAACATTCACTCCTACACACCGTACAATTGTTATGACCTTAAACATGAACTTGACTTCATTAATAAAGCCAAGAATTCAGAACGCTGTGCAGAAGGTCTCTTGAAGTACTCATTTATTAATGTACCTCAAGTTCTATGGAATTTGAGTACCAAGAGAATTCTGACCACAGAATTTATACATGGAACTAAAATTAGCGATGTTGAATCCATAAGGAAACAGGGATTCTCATTCGCTGATGTTGACCAGAAGCTGTTCGATGCCTTTGCCGAACAGCTATTCCATACAGGATTTGTGCATGCAGATCTTCATCCAGGCAATGTGTTAGGAAGGCTGGACCATGGCCTCTACGAGGATCTGCTGCGCTCTGTACGCCAATCCCTCTTGTCATCTGTGGATAGCAGTTATAACAAATAATCAGCCTGACATCAAGACTCATGCAAGTGAATTAGGTGTGGAAGATAATTCTGAACTATTCAAAATTTTAACAGAGAGAGACCTTTGAGTGTCAGTATGAAATTTATGACAAGGTTAAGTGAAGAAGACATGACAGAAAAGGCACGGCATGAATTTGATCAGGTTATGAAAGTTCTTCATGCCATTCCAATATCCATGTTATTAGTCATGAGTAGTGTGATTGGCAGACAGCCAATATGCCAGAATAAATTTGGAAGAGCGATTAGACTAATGCCACCTCAAGGGTTATGACGCTACACGCGAAAGAATGGACATACGACAGATGATGGAACGTCTGTTAGTGGGCCAAGAAGAAATGAAGGCCGGCCATAAAGAGTTGTTGGCTAAACTGGAGGACGACAGGAAGGCCGAAATGAAAGTATGGCGAGAAGAAATGGCCGCCATGACAGACAAGTGGGGGAACGATAGTCACATGAAGATAGTGGCCGAAAATGACATAAAGACGANTAACATGACCCAACATTTCATGAAGTTTTAAAAGTTGGAGTATTTCTTTGTCTTTGGGGATGCTTCGTCAAATGGAACATTCTAGAAGGAATGGATGATGTAACGTGGCTGCATCTTTGGTGTGATTGGCTGAGGTTTGTAACCTGGGTATTCACTTTGGATTGATAGCCAACCAGACCAGTGCAGGCTGTGCATTGCATGATGGCAGTATTTTAGTGTCACAGCATGTAATTCTCTGCAGCGTGAAGAGTCACTTCATAATTGTCGACTAAAGAGGACATACGTCTGCGTTCCTCTACCAAGGACCAGGACAAGATGTTAGCAGGTTCACTCCACATGGAGGTCGACTGGCATCACATTACTGATGACTAATAACATGGATCTTGGCATGGCATGAAGAGCTTTCATAACCTGATCAAATTCATGCCCTGCCTTTTCTGTCATGTCTTCTTCGCTTAACCTCGTCATAAATTTCCTATTGACATTCAAAGGTCTCTCTGTTAAATTTTAAATAGTTCAGAATTATCTTCCACACCTACTTCACTTGCATGAGTCTTGATGTCAGGCTGATTATTTGTTATAACTGCTATCCACAGACGACAGAGGGATTGGCGTACAGAGCGTGGCAGATCCTCGTAGAGGCCATGGTCCAGCCTTCCTAACAAACATATTGCCTGGATAAGGTTCTGCATGCACAAATCCTGTATGGAATAGCTGTTCGGCAAAGGCATCGAACAGCTTCTGGTCAGCATCAGCGAATGAGAATCCCTGTTTCCTTATGGATTCAACATCGCTAATTTTAGTTCCATGTATAAATTCTGTGGTCAGAATTCTCTTGGTACTCAAATTCCATAGAACTTGAGGTACATGAATAAATGAGTACTTCAAGAGACCTTCCGCACAGCGTTCTGAATTCTTGGCTTCATTAATGAAGTCAAGTTCATGTTTAAGATTTTCTTGTAGGTCCTCAAGAACCCACTCAAAATCAAAGTCTCGATGCAGCCATCCAACTATTTTGAGACGTATGTCCTGTTTAGTTGATAATTATGAAGTGACTCTTCATGCTGCAGAGAATTACATGCTGTGACACTAAAATACTGCCATCATGCAATGCACAGCCTGCACTGGTCTGGTTGGCTATCAATCCAAAGTGAATACCCAGGTTACAAACCTCAGCCAATCACACCAAAGATGCAGCCACGTTACATCATCCATTCCTTCTAGAATGTTCCATTTGACGAAGCATCCCCAAAGACAAAGAAATACTCCAACTTTTAAAACTTCATGAAATGTTGGGTCATGTTACGCAGCTGTCTACATAGCGCCTACCTCATGAGTTGATTGCGTGATATTGCATCATGTCCACTTGGATAATGTGTAATTATAGGGAAGGCACTGTTATTAACATGTAATAAAATGTAATTCAATTAAACATATTCATTCATTCGTCTGTAATCTGTCAAGACGACAGGTCCACAGTCTCTTCCAAAACAGTTCCTCCACTTGATGCGATCTAGCGCTTTCTCCTTCAAATGAGAATACCCTCTTCTGTCCCCAAGGTCATCCAGCATCTTCTTATGTTTTCTTCCTCGTCTTCTGGTCACTTCTATCCGCCCCTCTATCTTTCCTTCAACAACTTCTTTTAGAAGGCAGTTACCACGTAAGATATAACCAATTCAATTAGCCTTCTGTTTTCTTATTTCGTGTAGTATATTCCTCTGCTCACTGACTCTAAATAACACTTCTTCATTTCTCACATAAT